CAAACAGCAAGACAGTTTTCCCTTGGCAACCACTACTAATGAAAAAGCATTATTAGCAAGTTATAAAGTTGCTTATCGTGTTGCCAAAACTAGTAATCCGCACACAATTGCTGAAAATCTGATTTTTCCAGCAGCTGTTGAAATGGTACATATAATGTGTGGGGAAAGAGAGGCTGCAAAATTAAATACAATACCTCTGTCAAATAATACTATCCAAAGAAGAATTAGTGATATGGCAGAAGATATTCAAGCGCAAGTTGTGGAAAATCTTAATAAATGCACGTACTTCTCTCTTCAAATGGACGAATCCACAGATATATCTAACTGTGCCCAATTCATTACGTTTGTAAGATATGATACAAATAATGGCATTCAAGAAGATATTTTATTTTGTTCCCCATTGGAGACCAATACCACTGGAAAATGTTTACTCGACACTTTTGTGAAACGTACAAGTAAATATGATATTGACTGGGTAAATGTATTGCTATATGCACAGATGGCGCTAAAGCTATGACAGGACATAAATCTGGTCTTGTCGTCAAATTACAAGAAATAATGCCTAATGCCAAATGGAGACATTGTTTTTTACATCGAGAAGCTCTTGCGTCCAAAGCTTTACCTCCTGAAATGGACTGTGTTATGAAAACCATCATTAAAGTTGTAAATTCCATTAAAGGAAAAGCTTTGCAGACCCGTATTTTTAGAAAAATTTGCGAAGACATGGGTGCTTTATTTGAAAATCTTCTCTATCACACCGAAGTAAGGTGGCTTTCAAGGGGCAACGTCTTAAAAAGAGTATTTCACTTAAGAGCAGAGCTTTTAATGTATTTGAAAGATGAGAAGTCCCCATATGAAAATCAATTTTCCGATCCTATTTGGCTTCTGAAACTAGGTTTCCTTGCTGATATTTTCGAGCAATTAAATATTTTGAACAGTAATTTACAAGGTCGCGACATTAATATAATTACAGCCACAGATAAAATTAAGGCGTTTCTAAGAAAAATCGATTTATGGTCGACCTCACTTGGCAAAAAACAACTCGATTCATTCCAGTGCCTTCAGGAAATTATGGAAAATGTATCCAATTACAGTGCTACAAATTTTGAACAAGTTTTTGCTGACATGCATGTTACTTTGCTCAATTTAAAACAACAGCTCTGTGATTATTTCCCCGAAGAAATTCAAAACAGTTACGACAGTTGCAGATGGATACTAAATCCGTTTTTAGCCGATTCCTTTCAGCATGTTGAAATACCAATAAACATGAAAGAAAAACTTATTGAAATATCAAGTGATGGAATGTTGAAGCTCCAATTTTTTTCCCAGAACTCGGACCAATTTTGGACCGAAAAGATGCAGGAATACCCCCAGTTGGCGAGTGAAGCTGTAAAATGTTTGGTTCCATTTGTAACATCATATTTGTGTGAGTTAAGTTTCTCGTCTATGACTGCCATTAAAACAAGAGTTAGAAATCGTCTCGTACTTGAAAATGATATAATTGTGTGTGTCTCAAATACACAGCCTAGATTTGAAAGATTAGTTTCACAGAAACAGGCGCATAGCTCTCATTAAGATTATAATATTTGCCTTTGTTTTACTCTTTTATTTTTACGGACTTTAATATTTAGTTTTATAATTCGTCTGATAATTAATTGTTAATTTAATGGTAAATAAACAACAACTATATAAAAATATTTGTAACCAATCCGGCACTTGATAATAATAAGATAAATTAGTGGAAATTGTGCGTCGAGAGCCGTAATGTCCAATATTTTAGATGTTATGAAATATTTTAACGCGAGCACTACACCACCATCCTTCACCTTGTCCAGCTCATGGAATTTTCGGTCTTTTCTGTATACGACATAATTATTCGGAAAGAGTTCCATACTCGAAACATCACTGCGTAACCACGTTTCACTTAATGCTATGATGTCGAATTCACAATCACTAACGTTAGCATTAAACAATGAAATTTTGCTATTAAGACCGCGTACATTTTGGTAATAACATGTAATTTTATTCAATCTTGCATTACAACCTTAAATTGTAGTTAGAATATCATGCAGAATTAGTTTCTGGGAAGTTATACAAAATGATATTGTGCGATCGATTAATACCGTCCATGGCTTCTTCAATTAGCTTTTCCTGATGTTCGAATTATATTGTAGGATTAATATTAGCTATTTTTCTTTCCAGCTCCTGCATTCTAGTTTTCACAAGATTCGTTAAAAATTGCTTTAATTGAACAAACTTGTCCTCTCCGTTGCTACAAGTATTACAAAATACTTTGATATTTTTACTATTGGCTATTAAGCCAATGCATGTATGAAGTATGCAAAGAATTCATGCATCCCGAACATTTTATAATTTGGGTGTTATAACAAGTCAGTTAACAGTTATAAATAAGTTCACAGTTTTAAATACTTAGGAGTAGTACTAAACGAAACGTGGGATCCAGATGTAAAAATAAAAACCCAAATAGAACAGGCTAGGAACATGTACAATAAATAGAAGCAAATTATCTATAACTGAAAACTGAGCTTAGACATCCGAATTAGAATTAAATACTACGTTTGGTCAGTCCTGTATGGACTCATAGCCTGGACATTAAAATTAAATACCATGAAACATTATGACAAACTATGAAAAATGACAAATATAAACTGCTATAAATAATAATTGAAGGGAAGATAGAGAGCTGAAGAGGAGTAGAGAGAAGAGCCATGTCATGGCAACTTGTGGAAATTATATTTAAAATTGATTGCCACTAGCATGGGTTTTCCTCGTTCGGTTAACATTTTAGTAGCTTGCATTTTCTACGATGATATGATCAAGTACAAGCAAGAGGCAAAACTATCAGTACACTATGTAATTTGAAATAAGTTTGCGGCGAAGGATATACGAATTTAAAGAATGATGGAAAATCCAATTTTTAACTGGCCATCTACCACAATAAAATCCATCGCCTACCTACCTAAATTTCCAAGAATTTCATCGGGAGCCAATTCACGCAAACCCTTTTATCGGTAGAGAGCTTATTACCTGCAACGGGGAGCCAATTCATCTGCATCCTGTTAAATTACCAAATCTTAACGGTTTGCAAGGAGTTTATGGTCTATACCTGTCACGGGGTGCAGGTAGGCCAGTGATGAGTTTACCAATCTCTTGGGGTCTATTTTAAAATCCCTAGTTTTATGGGGGTGATGAGTTTGTACTATGTATTTATGTACTATGTACTATGACTACTAAAAATATAAGAACAATATTAAAAGTTCCATAACGCTGTTATTTTCTCAATTATGTGGTATTATTCACACGAGAGATATTAAAATTTAAAGATAATACTTGCTGTGAAATTCCTCATAAATGCGCCACAGAACATTATTAATTGCATTATACTATAAAACATTCGCGATTATTCATTTTTATCGTGTTTAATGACTTTTAATCTTACAAACGCTCATTAACTAAATAGATAGTGGTGTACGCATCAAAATTATGTTATTTTAATGATTTCTATTAATCATATACTGTCTAAAATTTTTATTTTACGTAACCCTTATGCACTTTGAAATTATTCTTCTCTGAATCAGTGAATAATTGTTTTAAACACATAAATAACCTCTCTAGGCGTCGAATGTGATAGGCCTCAATTTACTTTCGTTTATCTCGCATAAAAAAGTCATTTGACACAGAATCAGTGTTAATGGTGGATGTCTCATCAATATGAAAACCACCGAAATTCACTGGATAAGGATGGTATTATTATTAACTTTGCGTTAATCCCTATGCAGGGTCGGTATCCCTACCTTGGGTAGTTTCTATCTTGGGCCATACCAATATCAATCCCTTTTACCGACATGTCCGGCCTAAGCGTCTCCCCCAGGTTTTCTTTGGTATTCTTCTCCTATTCCTCCCAGGAAGCAGATACACTTTCGTCCGGAATATAGTAATGAGTTCAGTTTTACCTTAAATTTTTACCAGAAGAAATATCACTTTTGTCCAAGTTAAATTTTTGTGCATATACACTTTTGTACAGGGGTCGAGCTCCGCGGGGATCAATCCCATAATTAAAAAAAAAAAGTTGTCTTCCTGCCTTATATAAAATTTATTATCTTAGCTTACTTAAAAACTAAAATTATGGGATGTACATATATTCCAGCCTAGTAATAGTTTTTTCATTAAAATTTTCTATTTTACTTTTCAAAAATTTCATGCTAAGTCTGGAGATCTAGCTGGTCATGAAAATATACTTCCTCTTCCAATCCATTTATTTGGATAACTTGCATACAAATATCTCGAACTCGTCTGTCTCGATTCATATCTCTAGTTCGACAAAAGCTATTAACATGCGGTTTGCGCCATTTTGTTACGAATTTAATCCAGTTTCATTATAATTTTCCTAGGTTTCCATTAAACATTTTGAAGAAAAACAAATTTTTCTATTCGAAAGTACCCTCTACCTATGACAATTCAAACTAAATGCAATTATTTTATAGTAGATGTAAATTCATTCATCCACACTCTTTCTAATGACACTAATTTCGGTAAAATCGGTTGATCCAAACCAAAGTTATAGGTATTTATCCACAAATACTTTCCCGCTCTCCCCACCCTTTATTTAAAAAAATAAAAAAAGTACTTTAACAACTTTGTGCAGAATTTAGGCCTCTTTCTAGTTTACTTATTTAACACTTGTATAATTGGGCATATTTCCCAAAAAACTGGTTTCCAGAGTTTTCTTCACAGGTTACGCTCCCTATTGGTTAACCCAGAAACTTGAAAGTTATTTCCAGCGATTTGTCTTGGCCACTTTTATTAAGGAATTTTTTCTCCTAAAGTTATAACATGAATAGTTTCTGATATATAGCCGAGAGATCGGCTTATTGGACCACCCGGTACAACGCTGATTTAATGTTTATACATTGGTGGTTCTACATGTAAAAACTCTCGTATTATGCCTACCGTTACTGATAATTTCGTTTATTTTTCAGGCGGAGATATCCAACAATTTGGAGATAATATCTGCTATTCCTAGAGAACACAGTCTGCCAATGAAATGTAATAGATTTTTAGTCACCTATCGGACTGAAGTAAAATTCATAGCTCAAAGCTACCGATTTGTATACTGTTTAGACATGAGTCCATCACATGCAAACGTAGATACTCAGAAGAATAGTATCCTGTTTGATGAGATTTTGAATTGTTTTAATGCTAGTATAGATGGGCTTTGTAAAGAGGTAAGTATTATCATTAGAGTGCAATACTAGCCACTGGATATGTCATGGTTACCTTCAGTTTTACTCTCTTAATCTTCGTCGTTCCGAGTCCTGCATCTTGAGGATGCAGTCTATTTGGCCCACAAGACAAAGAAAACTCTTTGACTTACTGTCAAGCTTTCGAATTTACTTTAATTCTTTTTCAAGACATCCGTTAACAAATAAATATAAAAATTATTTAGTTATAATTATTAATTTTCTTACTTACTAGTCGTGGATTACAGAAAAAGTTGTACTTTACAAACATCATTACACATTATAAAAGTTTTTAAAAAAAATTTCTTAGAATAATTGTCATTATATATGTCATTGTCATGTTGGCTTGAATAATATACATATAAAATAAATATACAGTTACTTTATGTGGAAAGCAAAACCAGTAACAATGGTTTTTCGATTAATAATAAAAACTGTTGTTACTGGTTTTGTTTTCCACATAAAGTAACCGTATATTCATTTATATATGTATATTAATCAAGCCAACATAATCAAGCGGGAAGAATGACTAGACTAGATAGGATTTGACTGAAGTTCTTTCAGGGCTTTTTTCTCGGATTGGCTAATTGTCGGAGTAGGAGACTTCCGAGTTTCTATGAAACCTAGCGATGTCTTGTCTAGTTATTTTAGCATCTTCGGAAGGAAAACTGGAGATGTCTTCTTCAGTTTGACAGATGATTATCTCAATTGGAATGTGACTTGGGGTAACAGAGTAATTGAAACCTTTTGCTAAAGGTTGAGTGGCAATGGTCGAAATAGGGGTATCAGAAAAGTTGTTAACAACTGTAGTGGGTTCCAATGAAATTTGTTCGGAAATTAGATGCACTAATTGGCCCTTCTGAGTTTCCGTCTTAGATTCGAAAGTGTTTAAAGCTGTCTATGTGTTGATACAGTCGAAATTGTCCCATAATATAGGATGTAGATTGAAAGAATAAATAGATGACCAGATATTGAAAATATTGATATTTGTGGCATCTAGTTTTCGTCTAGTGGAATGAATAGCTTCACGGAGAAGCGCAAAACTGATATTTCTAAGAATTTGGGAGATAGAAGAAGACGAAGTATGGTGTTTGAGTTTAGAAATTTGGGAATGACTTTATGGTCTCCACAGACTTTAAGGAATGTTAAATCACCAAGAAGACGATTCTTACGTTGCAGCAGATTTCTATATGATTTAGTGAGCCGGTAAAAGTCATCCCCGTAGAGTCGAATAAAATGTACCGAAAGATTTCCGCGGTTAGTACAATTAAACCTAGAACTAAGATTAATACTATTACAAAAATGAATATTAAACTCAACAGTCTTTCGGGTTGAATCGCGTTGATTCTCTAAACATTCTGAAGCACTTATTTCATCCTCCAAAATCAATTCTACAGACAAATAAATGGGTCCCAATGGGCTCTCCAATATCTCCAGTCAATGCCAATATCTTTATGAGACTTCGAGACCCGAGCACTATCCACTCAATGCTCAAACCCATAAGTTGTCTACGATGTCACCTAAAAATCTTAAATGGCTAAGGTATTCTCCATCAATGGATAGGCTGTCAGTTGAAGTTGCTGAATATATTTTCTAGAGTTGCAATGAAGTGCTTTGGTGATATTGCATCTCCTTGTCGGACGCCTCTGGTAGTGGAAAATTCTGGTGTGTTTTCATAAATTGTTACCTGCTTGTCTGTAGAATATTTTTTTCTTTAAAAATGCAATTATCGAACCAAGTCGCAGGGAACTCACAACAACCAGATGCAAGATAGGAGATTGGATGACAGAAGAAATCTTGGAAATGATGGAGGACAGAAGAAGACAAAAGAGTATCAACATAACTCAACAACCAGATGCAAGATAGGAGATTGGATGACAGAAGAAATCTTGGAAATGATGGAGGACAGAAGAAGACAAAAGAGTATCAACATAACTCAGTATCAACAGCTGCATAATCAAATAAGAAGGAAAATAAGAGAAGCTAAAGAGACTTATTTCGCTGAAAAATGCCAAGAAATAGAAGACTTACAAAACAAATATGATAACTTCAATCTCCATAAGAAAGTTAAAGAATTAGCTGGGGTAGCAAAACAAAAAACCTCAAGCATAGTATTGGGCAAAATAGGAAACATTTTAGTGGAGACGGAACAAAAATTGGGAAGATGGAAAGAATATATAGAGGAATTATTCCATGACCAGAGACAGGAAAATATATATATAAATAATCAGAGTAAAGACAAGGGACCCGAAATAACAAAGTCAGAAGTTATGCATGCAGTAAAGTCCATGAAAAATAATAAAGCTGCTGGTCCAGATGAAATACCAAGTGAATTGCTAAAACTGGTCAATGAAAAAAACATAGATCTTTTAGTCCAACTACTGAACACAATCTATTCCACAGGAATCATTCCACGTGAAATGCTGACATCAACATTTATTTGTCTACCAAAGAAAGTAAATGCCAAAGAATGTAGTGATTATCGAACGATCAGTCTAATGTCACATACCTTAAAAACTCTGCTAAAAATCATCCATAATAGAATACACGCTAAGCTGGAGATGGATATTAGTGATTCCCAGTTTGGATTTCGGAATGGAGTGGGCACAAGAGAGGCACTATTTTCTTTTAACGTGCTGACCCAAAGATGTTTGGATGTTAATCGAGATCTTTATGTATGCTTTATAGACTACAACAAGGCATTCGATAAAGTAAAACATGACCGACTTATAGAAGTACTCAAAAACAAGAATCTGGATGTGAGGGATGTAACATTGATATCAAATTTATACTACAGCCAACGATCAAATGTGAAAATTGGAAGAGAAGTGTCAGAAGAAGTGGAGATAAGGAGAGGGGTCAGGCAAGGTTGCATACTGTCGCCGTTATTGTTTAATGCTTATTCTGAAGAAATCATACAAGAAGCTTTGGTAAACGAGACAGTCGGCATAAAAGTGAACGGAAGTTTAATTAACAACATTAGTAATGCCGACGATACAGTCATCATAGCCAACAAATTGGAAGACATAAATAATAATGAATAAAATATTAAGATATAGTGGAGAATACGTACTCTCTCTTAACATCAAAAAAATCAAATTCATGAAAATTAGTAAGAACAACAATACAAATGAAATACTAACGATAGGCGGCCAGCAGATTGAGAGAGTAAAAAGATATACTTTCTAGGGAACGATAATCACAGAAAATATAACGATTATACTGCAGAGATAAGAGTCAGAATTGAAAAAGCACATGCCAACTTCGTGAAAATGAAAAAGATTTTATGCAGCAAAGATCTGACATTGGCCCTCAGAATAAGGCTAATTAAATGCTATGTACACAGTGTACTCTACTATGGAGCTGAATCATGGACATTAAACCGGAATACAATAAATCGACTTAACGCGTTTGAAATGTGGACATTTAGAAGATTGTTAAGGATTTCATGGGTAGATAGAGTCACGAATGCAGAAGTGTTAAGGAGAATAGGCAGAGAGAGGGAAATGGAAAATACAATAAAAGAAAGGAAATTGCAATATCTCGGACATGTAATGAGAGGCGAAAGATTCAACATCTTGAGACTCATAATTCAAGGAAAAATAGAGGGTAGGAGAAGCGTAGGAAGAAGACGCGTTTCCTGGTTGAAGAACCTGAGAGAGTGGTTTGGTTGCAGCTCAAGGCAATTGTTCAGAGCAGCTGCCTCGAAGGTCAGAATAGCCATGATGATTGCCAACCTTCGTCGCGGAGATGGCACTTAAAGAAGAAGAAGAATATTTTCCTAAGTCTTTATGTATGGTTTGTCAATGCCTTTATTTGTCAAAGCTTCTATTAATGCCTTGGATATATATATAATTGAAAGCCTTCTCGAAATCTATGAAGGTTATTGCTAGCGGTATATCATATTCTTTAGCTCTACTCATTAGTTCTCGAAGCGTATGGATATGATTCAGGGTACTGGATTTAATTCTGAATCCAGCTTACTCTCTCGGCTGTGCAGCATCTAATGCATTTGTGAATCTGTTGTTGATGATCTTTATGAATATCTTCGTTGGCTAATGTGCATATTTAATTTTCTTGATATTGATTTTTATGATTTTATTTATCTTGCATTTAATTGTTTTATTTGATTTTCAGTTTACAATTCCTGGAAGTTCAATAACCCTTCAACCAAATATATACCTCACTGTAATAGTAAACACTCCATTTTTTTTAAGTCCCGCACAACAAGTTCTTGTCAAAGGAGTGCAAATAACAGTAAATAATCTTAAAGAAATCTTAAAATATGTTGAAAGACAGTTTCACATTCTAGAAGAAAAAATTGCAGACGTTTGTTCCAAAGCTCTGGATCACCTTGATTCTCAGAGGGTAAGTTTTTTGAAAAGTAAAATAATTTTGATATTAGCTTCAATTTTTTTAGAATCAAAATGAACATTTAATGGGCGATTTATTTGATTCACCAGATACTGGAAAGATGTATTCTCGCATACCTATGGTGACACCAGATGTCAATTTTGTAAATATGCTACGGTACTCAATGCTAGCTATCTCTCTTCTTCCAGAGAACAGCTTAAGTCGTAAGTAATAAGTTAAATTGCTAAATTTAACAGTGGTACCTCTTAAGCAGTCCTCTTCATATTTATAAATTATCTATTGTATTATCTATATACAGGGTGGTGAATTGTCAAACGGGCCTTAGGAAACTCAATGGGAAATTCTAAATTGTTGAATTTCTGCTTCCCTAATTATTTTACACCAAAAGTCATGGGAAACTATTTGTAGGGAACTAAAATATATATCGAAAACAAATGTTAAAATTGAGAGTACGGTCGTACGGTCCTGCAGTGATAAAATAAATCACGTTGCATACCGTTCTGAAATATATCAGTTTTTGATATGATAAAATCAAAGTTAGAAATTATTTTTGTTATTTTCTACACATAGTTATAGTGCTACCTTCAAGTCAACCGAGTAAACGTTTATGTGAGTACCAAAAATCAGTTCATAGTATCTATATCAATATTAATATAACCTATAACGTTCCGAAGAAATAGAAACAAATCCAGTTTTGGGTCAAAATCCACACCGGTTTTTCGAACCGGTGACAGGTCCGGACTTAAAATTAATCAACCATGACTTCGAATAAAACTATGAATACTACTCACACTTCATCTCACGTCTCATATTCCAGTGTTGTCAACACATTTAAAGATCCAACAAAAGAACAAGCTATAGTACTTTCCAGTATTGAAAGAACTAAAGTTCATGACTATATCATCGCCGTTGGTTCACTAGTTGGTCCACGTAACGTATTCTTCGCTTCCAGAATTGCCAACAATAGAATATGTCTATATCTTTCATCTAAAAATGCAGTTGATTCACTACTACATTCCCACAAATATGTTAATATAAAAGAAACTCAAGTAGAAATAAGAAGACTTATCTCTCCAGCTCAAAGACTAGTCATATCAAATGCTTGTCCTACTGTTCCAAACACGTTAATTGAACAAGAACTACATCAGATGGGTATAAACTCCGTCTCAAAAATGACTTTCCTAAGAGTAGGTATGCCTGAAAGCGAATACAACCATGTCTTGAGTTTTAGAAGGCAAATATTTATTACACCTTTAGACAATATATCTATTCCTGATTCTTTCATTATCTCTTATGATAATACCAATTATCGTTTATACCTTTCTATAGAAGGATTTAACTGTACAAAATGCAAGACTATTGGTCATCAGGAAGCTGAATGCTATAACCAAGCAAACCCCACTACTTCTAATATACACTCAGAAACCTCTCAAAACATATTACCTACAGTAAATACATCTAATAACCAAACAGAACTACAAAGTTCTGACAAAGCTAATTCATCCACTGCTAGTGCACACCCAGAAACTTTTCAAGACACATTAGTTACAATAAAATCCTCTAATAACCAAACAGAACAAATTATGGAAACTGACAATAACCAGACATAATCCATAAGTAATAGAAGTGAAATATCTTTCTTAAAAACTCCAACATCTACAACTTCAAACAACATAAGGAATCCTACTTCAGTAGAAATAACACCAAATCCAATTACTACAAATGTCCTTAATCAACTAAAAAGGTTCATCTCATCTTCTCCAGACATTAACGAAAATACCCCACAGACCGATTCACAGATACTTCTCCTGTAGTAAGCAAACCAAAAAAAAGTCAAAAAAGTCAACCAGAAATTCCCGGGAAGAACTTTTACTTTCACTAGAGTCAATTAAAGACAAAATAGAAAACAGATCACCACCTTTTATCTTAAATTATAATGAAATATGTGACTTTCTAGAAAACACAATATATGCCAAACACCCTGAAATAATTTCTAAAGATTACTCGAATGAAAATGCCGAGCTAATTGAGATCCTTAATTTTGTTCACGCTTATACCCACAATTCAAAATTAAAAAATAATATAACTAGATTAAAAAAGAAACTAAACCCCAATAATATCTCTTACACAGAAGAGACAGATGAACAATTATCTCAGGCAGAATTCTAACATGTCCAATTCCTTTATTTTACAGTGGAATCTTAATGGGTTTTATACCCATTTAGAACCGTTAAAACTTTTAATAAATGAATTATGCCCAAAGATCTTATGTCTTCAAGAAACTCATTTTAAACAAGTTAATATAAATCTTCGAAATTATCAATGTTTTCCAAAAAACAGAGTAGCACAACAGGCCAGTGGCGGAGTAGCTATCTTCGTAAGTACAGATCTAGAAGCTAAGCCAATTGCATTAAGAACTAATCTCGAAGCAGTGAGTATAACATACCAAAAACATATTAATATATGCAACATTTATTTACCACATCCTAGCGAGCTAGACCTACAAGAACTAAATAACCTTCTTGATCAAATTCCACACCCAAAAATAATTTTAGGGGATATGAACTGTCATCATTCTGCATGGGGAAGCTCTAAAACAGACAAATACGGTAATCTAATGAAACATCTCATTGACTCTTCTGATCTATATATATATATATATATATATATATATATATATATATATATATATATATATATATATATATATATATATATATATATATATATATATATATAATGGCTATACACCCCAGCTTGGGGTTAAACCGCAAATGCTTTCTAGATCCTATTTCTTAAGTGGATCAGTCTTTTTTTTGTTTATCTTATCTTCTTGACAATATCTCTCCATTTTTTCCTGTCTCTAGTTCTTCCTCTCCATTCACTGACTCCTGCCCTTTGGAGGTCTTCTTCAACTTCTTGCAGCCACTTTGATCTCGGTCTTCCCCTTCTCTTTCTTCCTCCTGGATTCCATTCTATCATTGCGTATGTCACTGCCTCATCGCCTGCTCGCCAAATGTGACCTAACCATCTAACTCTGCATTGCTTTATTTTAGTTACGATGTCTTCCTTAAGTTCTTCCTTAATTTCTGCATTTGTTCTGCTTCTATATTCATTTTGCTCTGTTCTGATTGGTCCTAGTATGGTTCTCATAATCTTTCTCTCTGCAATTCTTAAGTCTTCTTCATCTTTTTTAACCATCGTCATTGTTTCCCCTGCATATAATAATATTGGTCTAATTATGGTGTTATAAATGCTCATCTTGCTTTTTTTAGTCAGTGTTTTGCTTTTAAGTAATCTTTTGTTTGCAAAATAAGCTTTATTCGCTGCTAATATTTTTTCTTTTATTTCGGATTTCCTTTCTCCGGATTTACTTATTGTAACTCCTAGGTATTTGAAGTATTCTACTTCTTCAAACTCGGAACTTCCTATTTTGATTTTTTCCTTCATTGGTTTTTTCCCTAATCTTAAAATTTTTGTCTTTTCTTGATTTAATCTTAGCCCCATTACCTCCCCTTTCTCTCTTATTTCTTCAAGCATTTCTTTCATTATTTTTCTGTTCTTTGCAATAATAGCAATATCATCTGCATATGCAATTATTTGACCACCTCTTGTTCTGAGATTTCCTTTATTTATATTTCGCAGTACATATTCTAATGCTAGATTAAATAGCGTTGTTGATAAGGCATCTCCTTGTTTCATCCCTTTATTTATACTGAATTCTTCTGTCTCTCCTCTTTGTGTCTTTATGCTTATTTTTGTAGTTCTCATTGTCATTTCTATTAATTTTCTGAGTTTATGTGGAATTTTTAATGTTTTAAGTGCTGTCATTTTAATTGAATCAAATGCCTGTTTGAAGTCTATGAATAACATTTCCAATTCTAATTTATACTCGTTTGCTTTTTCCATTATTTGTTTTATTGTGTGTATTGCATCTATTGTAGATCTTCCTTCTGTGAATCCACATTGGTACTGTCCTACTGTCTTCTTTGTGATCTTTGATAACCTCTTTTTTATTATTGATGTCAATATTTTATATGTTGTATTTAGTAATGTTATTCCTCTATAATTTTCACAGATTTGTTGGTCTCCCTTTTTATGTACTGTTATGATCTGTCCTACCTCCCAGTCACCTGGCATTTTCTCTTCTCTCCATATATTTTTCAATAGTGCCAGTATTTTTTCTCTTAGTTCCCTTCCCCCGTATTTTATTAGTTCCATATTAATTCCATCTTTACCTGGGGCTTTTCCATTTTTGCTTCTCTGTATTACTTCATTCAATTCCTCTAATGTTGGTTCTTTTGAAATTTCGATGTCTACTTCATTTGCTTCTTCTTCGTGTACTGTTTCCTCCTCGTCATGCATTTCTTCTTCTGTTGTTTCCTCCGTCAAGAGCTCTCTGTAGTAATCTCTCCATACTTGCTTGTATTCTTGGTCCTCTATTATCACTATTCCCTCTCTATTTTTTATTCCGTTTGTTTTGCCCTTGTATTTTTTGTTTTGTTCTTTAATCTTTTTGTAAAAACTTTTCGTATTTCTGTTTGTTCTTTCCTGCTCTATTTCCTGCATTTTTTTGTCTACCCATCTTCTTTTATTTTGCTTTATCACTTTCTTAGCATTCCTTCTTAATTTTTCATATTCTTCTCTGTCTTCCTCTTTATCTGTTCTTAGCCATTTATTTCTGGCTTGTACTTTTTTTCCTGTTATTTCTCTACATTCTTGGTTATACCATTCGTTTCTTGTTTTAGCCTGACTTTTACCTATCTGCATATTTGCACCTTCTTCTATTGATTTTTTGATCGTCTCCCATTCTGTGCTTATATCTTCTACTTTATATTTCTCTTTTATTTGAACTGTTACTGCCTCTTCATATTTTTTTCTTACTTCTTCATTACTCAATTTATTGACATTCCACTTCTGATGGAAGAACTTCTGATCTACTATTACTTAATACAGGAGAACCTAGCAGATTTAACTCCTATAACGGCTCTTTTTCCCCCATTGATTTATCATTATGTAGTCAATTCTTATCAACGTTTCTCACGTGGTATACTTTAAAATCGTTATATGACAGTGACCACTTTCCTATCTACATATCATTAAAATCAAATTCAATCTCCTAATTTTCCAATCTATCAATCCTGGAAATTAAATACTGCAAACTGGTCGTCTTATCAAGATGACATTGAAAAGAAAATTGAAA